CTGGAAGTTTTTAAGAAGATTTGGATAACCATTTGTCTGAAGTGGTGTAGGGTTTCCTGCCTAAGCAGGACTAGAAGACCTCCAAGGTCCCGTCCAACTCTGTTAGTCTATCATTCTATCACGGTAAGTGAATCTGGCTTCTCCTTGCTTGTCAGAAGGTTGCAAAAATGGATCATGTGACCCTAGGACACCGCAACCGTCAGAAATGTGAGTCAGACACCAAGTGGCCAAGTTTTGATCACATGACTTCAATGGTTGGAAGTGTGAAAAACTCCATAAAAACTTCAATTGTATATAGAGCCCTGATCCCGAAAATTGGTTCTTTCTGCTTATTCCCTGCATGTGACCTCATGATTTCTTTCCTTCTTTCTCTTCAGGATGGAAATGATTTTGGTGATGTTTACCAAGACATGCAGTTCTTTATTCCTCAAATATTGGTCCTCAAACTAGATGTGGAGGATCCGTCTATTATATTTGAGCCCGACGTGCAGAGTTTGTGGGATTTGGTCTACCGCTGTTTTATTGAGATCCTCAAATCTTCTGAAGATCTTCCAAAGGTATGCCAAAGGAAAAACATGGCCAAGTTCATTTCTTGGGTTACTCTGGGGGTTGAACTCTTGAAGAAGTCACCATTGATTGGGGTCCCTGAACTTCCTCAACTAAAGCTGGATGGGGAGGGTGAGCTGAGGATCTGAAGCAGGAATACAAGTAGCTTTTTGTGAGGTTGCTGTAACTTTGGACCATCATTAATTGGACGGTCGTAAATTGAAGATGGCTGTACAATGGCTTGTTGTAGGAGGAGGACAGGCAGAATCTGGGGAGGGAGTCAAGAGAGGAATCAACCTGGAATCCTTACGTTCCCATAAGTGGGTCTAAGTTCAAACCCTCTTGAATTGTGTTAGCTCTTATCTACTGCCAATTTAGTGCTGGCTGTTAGTTGACTACTAAGATCATGGCATCTGGCCCTCTCAATTCCTGGCAAATAGATGGGGAAGAAATGGAGGTAGTGACAGACTTTACTTTCCTGGGCTCCAAGATCACCGCAGATGGAGAAATCACTGCAGCCAAGAAATTGAAAGACGCGTGCTCCTGGGGAGGAAAGCTATGGCAAAGCTAGACAGCATACTAAAAAGCAGAGACATCACCCTGCCAACAAAGATGTGTCTAGTCAAGGCTGTGGTTTTCCCAGTTGCAATGGATGGCTGTGAAAGTTGGACCATAAGGAAGGCTGAGTGCCAAAGAATGGAGGCCTTTGAACTTGGGTGCTGGAGAAGACTCCTGTGAGTCCCTTGAGCTGCAAGGTGATCCAACCGGTCAGTCCTAGAGGAGATCAACCCTGGCTGCTCTTTAGAAGGCCAGGTCCTGAAGAGGAAACTCAAAGGCTTTGGCCACCTAATGAGAAGGAAGGACTCATTGGAGAAGAGCCTCATGCTGGGAACGATGGAGGGCAAAAGAAGAAGGACTGCAAGGTGATCCAACCAGTCAGTCCTAGAGGAGATCAGCCCTGTCTGCTCTTGAGAAGGCCAGATCCTGAAGAGGAAATTCAAAGACTTTGGCCACCTAAGGAGAAGGAAGGACTCCCTGGAAAAGAGCCTCACTCTGGGAACGATGGAGGGCAAAAGAAGAAGGAGATGACAGAGAATGAGGTGGCTGGATGGAGTCACTGAAGCAGCCGGCGTGAGCTTCAATGGACTCCAGAGGATGGTAGAGGACAGGAAGGCTGGAGGAATGTTGCCCATGGGGTCCCGATGGGTCGGACACGACTTTGCAATTAACAACAACATTAGTTGCCTGGATATTGTGTATAGGCATAAGCAATAAATTAATTTAATTAGAATTTAACTGGCAGTCCTGATTCTTCATGCCTCACATAGTAGAACAAAACATCGCGCTAGGTTATATTTCTTTTCCCCACTGTGCTTCAGTGCAACTCATTGTAAAACTCTGAAGTATGATTTACAAAGCAGTGGGCTGGATTTACACATAATACTATAAAAGAAAATTAACCATGTTCCTCCATGCCTTTTCATTCACTTTCAGTCACCTTCTGGGTTAGTGATACATCTTTAAAGAATTGGCCACATAAATGATTACCTCTTGTCTCACCTGTATGTGTATCTATATAACTTAGAATTATAAAATCTGAATTGTAAAAACCTGACCGGCCACTAGATGTCAGCAAAGGTTAGGGGTTTTTATAGCCCCATCCTGCTAGTTATAAAATATTCATTGCCTTGAATAGATAGGATCATACAATGTCAATTATTCTGTGTGTTGAGACCTTAATCCTCCAATTTTGGAATATATTTCTGAGTTAAGGTTTAGGTTTGATTTCAAACTGTTGCTGGGATGTGATTTCATCATTAAACTTATAAAATATTTTTGTGTGAGATTGATTATATCTTACTTTGAGTGTGTATGAGGTTAATATTAATTTTTGCATTTTAGGTTCAAGTGAAACTTTTCCCAGAATTAAAAGGAGATGACCTAATTCTTCGTACGGTCAACAAGGATGAAACCTTGGTGGCGGATTATGTACAAAAAACTGCGGAAATATTTAACCTCAATTTGATAGGCCCACAGAAGTAAGTTTGTTGGAAATAAAAGAACATAGGATTTAATTTAATTCCAGAAATCTTTCCTCTGGCATTTCTTTCTGAACTTTTCCCGATGTTTTCCATTTGGCATAGATTCCCACGGGGACGGGGCGGGGGGCTAATATGGTGGCCATAATTTCTTTCAATTCTATCATTTTCTTTTTAAAAATCACTTATATCAATAGAAGAGAATATTTGTATTTCAGGGTTGAACTGTGGAATCCTTGGTGCTCTCTGAGCTTGGTTGTTTTCTTGCAGACGTTTCATTACCCTACTAGGTCACATCATCAGTGCTCCGATGGTGTTGATGGTGCTGTGATGGTGATAATCAATTATTGATATTGTGACCTAGTTAGGTAATGAAACGTCTGCAAGAAAACAACCAAGCTCAGAGAGCAACAAGGACCCCACAGTCCTTTCCCTCTTCCTCTTCCTCCTCCCCCCTCCCCGCCTCCTTGCAAACTCTTTTTAGCACTGATGATGTTACCTAGTTGGGTAAAGAAACGTTTGCAAGAAAACAACCAACTCAAAGAGCACCAAGGACTGCACAATTAAATTACTGAATTTGAGGGCCCTTTTCCAAAGAGAATAAAGGGATCATGGTTTGCTAACAGAATGGCCCCTGAAAGATAAATAGTTGGGCATACATTGGATTAAGCCTCCATGGCTAGTTTATGTTTGACTAGCCGATAACCTGGTGTTGCCCGGGTATTTATTTATAGGAGGAAAATGTCCAGACCAAAAGTAATTTCTAATGTTGGATTTTTCCCCTAAGCAGAGAGAGCCCCCTTGTGGAGTACTGTGAAGCTGTTACCATGGCAACTCCACTGCACTGTACAGTAGAAGTCATTTTGCAGCGGTACAGTAGAAGCCATTTCAAGGCACAACAGGCTGTATCTTAACAGAACCCCCCCCTCCGAAAGGTGTTAGGGGTGTCTCACCCCCACAGCATTTCTTCCCAGAGAGTAAGTCATCTGTGTACCAAGTTTGGTTGAAATTGCTCGAGCTGTTCCAGAGTTATGCTGGAACACATACAGACAGGTTTTTATATATAGATAGATTTAGGATGATGTGAACCCTGTCAGTGTGACATAACATAATGGGTGAGGCAAGGCAAGACTTGTATCCAAATAACCATGGTTAAACCCAGCATGGCTTATAATGTGCGAAATTATCCCAGAGAATAGAGTGAGATGCCGCTGCTATTGGAAAAGAAACGTTTCTTCTGGACCTTGATTTAAGTCATTTCTTTTCTGCACAATCTTTTTGCATTGAAGGTACTTGAACGTGTATAGGAAATACAACGATCTCTTGAATAACAATGCCGAGAAAGACGTGACTGAATTTCTAAGCAAAAGACACGAGCTGGAAGATTTTGTAGAGGTATTGCTTTTCATTGTGTGAGAAGTCGATTTTCCTTAATCATGTAAACCTAGGAACAGCCTTTCCTAAAAGGACACTTGTAGGAAAATAGGTATACAGGTAATCCTCAACTTATGCCCCAAATTTATGTTGTTAAGTGAGACAATTGTTAAGTGAGACCCATTTTACCGCCTTTTTCTTGCCTCCGTTGTTAAGTGAAGCACTGCAGTTGATAAGCCAGATACCGGTCCTAACCGAGAGCCCTATCTATTGTGGAGCTGACTGGCGATAGGGAGCAGGAGCAGAGGGTTGAAAGAGCCACATGGAGCTCCAGAGCCACAGGTTACCGACTCCCGGCCTAAAGACTATTGTTCCTTCCTTCCTTCCTTCCTTCCTTCCTTCCTTCCTTCCTTCCTTCCTTCCTTCCTTCCTTCCTTCCTTCCTTCCTTCCTTCCTTCTCTTCCTTCTTGATGTGTAGTGGTAAAAATGCAGTATTGCAGGCTAACTCTGCCCACTGCCAACTCTGCTCCTGACCCGTTCAAGGTTGGCTCCACCTTCCATCCTTCCGAGGTGGATCAAATGAGGACCCAGATTGTTGGGGGCAAGAGGCTGACTCTGTAAACTGCTTAGAGAGGGCTGTAAAGCACTGTGAAGTGATATATATAAGTCTAAGAACTACTGCTGACTAGCTGCTGTGGCGCAGTGGTAAGTGCTGTGGCTAGGAGATTTTTAAGCGCCAGTCCAAAACAGACATTCACTTGTAGACTGTACTTTTCCTTCCTTTAGATTCAGACAATGAGCCTGCTTCCCCTCAAATAGGCTAAAATAATCCCTGTGGCTCTCCCCCCCCCCTCCTGTAACAATTCTCCTTCCTTCTGTCGCCTTGCAGAAAATTGACGGCTTGACGAAATTGAAGAAAGAAATTGCTTCCTTGCACGTCACTGTCCCCTTGGCTCTCTTCTGCCTGGATGCCCTGAAACTGAACGAAGAGCTTTGCAATCGGACCCAGAGGCTGAAGGACAGACTGATTGAGTTTGAAATCGAGGAAAACAGGAACCTTAACAAGAGGTGTGGATGGCTGAGAACAGTCTTCGCCCGAAAGGATACTATTCTATTCGTTTCCAGCACGAGGGATCGCCTTTGAAGGCCCTGTAATTGTGCGGGAGGGTACGCAGGCAGGTCCATGCTGCCGTCATCATCCAATGCAAAGGAAGAAATAGCCCATCATCTGTGCAGATGGGATTAGAATATATAGGCAATCTACGTCCTATAACAATTGGGTGTTCCATCATGGGCGGGAGGAAGAAGAAGAGAAAGGAGAGGCAGGAGAGAGAAAGTGAAAAGGAGGAGAAGAAAAAAGGAAGGAGCAGAAAAGCAGAAAAATTGTTCAGAGGGAGGGATTGGAGAGTATGATACAATGGTTATAACTATAATCCTTTGCATTAAGTAGGGTGGATGTTATAGTCACGCCGCTTTTTCCTTCCTTTCAAGCATTTGCAACCAGTACAACATCATTGCCGACAAGGTCAGCGAAGTGCCTTTGACCACCGAGCAGCTGGTGGAACTCACAGCTTACTTGAAAAAATCCAGCGAAGTCACGGTGTTCAAGCTGCGTCGCGAAATCAAAGAAGCCATCTACCGGCTCGAGTTCCTAATGGACTACGCTGACCTTCCCAGTATGTTGTGGGACAGAACTTGGCCTCTGGTGCGGGGACAGACTTCTGGACCAAGGTCTTGGCCTTGGAATTTCTGCCCGTTGGTTCTTCTTGAGAACCTTGCCTAACCTGTTCTGACCCAGTTCCCCAAACATTTAATGGATATTTTATGGTCTGAATTTTTGCCCTGGCAAAAAGTTTCTCTCACAGGCTAACGAGTCTGTCCATCCGGAAGATGAATAGTTGTCTGCCCCACCTATTCATCTCCACCCACTGTCTTTCATCCCCAAAACTAGGGCGGGGCTTCGCTAGAAGCATTGGCTCTTCCATCCCAAGGACCGGCCCATAGATTTCCACTGCTCTCCTCTCCTCTGCCTTCTGCGCAGAGGCACGTCAGGCAATGGACCCAACTGTTCCTCCTCTTCCTCATCAGCCACCTCCAGACCTGGGGGCTGTTGACTCGCCACCTGAGGGCTGACAGAAAGCTCATCCTCTGTCTGTCTCTGCCAGCTCCATTCCCTCTTCCCCCTCGGAGCTCCCAGATTTCCCTGATGCTTACCCTGATTCCCACGCCCCCTCCTCTGATTCTGTTGCTGGAAGGACCAGTGGCCAACAGGACACAATATAACCTCTCTAGATGTGGGTTGGAATTCGTGGTGACTAAGAAGCAAAAACCTTTCTCTTCCCCCAACTCCCAACTTTCTTTAAACCCTACCTATGGAAAGCAATGAAGGGGAAGATTCCAAGAATTTGGATCTGGTTGGAAGACCAACCTGATCCATCATAGACGTGAAGAGACTCTGGATCCCTCCTAAGCATGCCCCCAACTCCCAACTTTCCCCCAACTCCCAAATTTCTTTAAACCCTACCTATGGAAAGCAATGAAGGGGAAGATTCCAAGAACTTGGATCTGGTTGGAAGACCAACCTGATCCATCATAGATGTGAGGAGACTCTGGATCCCTCCTAAGCATGCCTGCTTCTGGTCTTGGGATGTTTTCTTGGTCAAATAGAAAAAAATGACCTCCATCCTTCTGTTTTTTTAATCTACTAGGTGAAGATATCAGACTAAATAGTACAGTTCTTCATTGGCCAGATGGGATTGAAGATATCTTTGATACCAGTCGGAATCAACTCATGAACAGGAGGGAACAAGTCGAGATTTCCCTGATTAAAAGGTAGGTTACAGTCTACTAGGGAGCAGAGATTTCCTTTCTCCAAGTGGGCCTGATCCATGTTTCTTGGCTCAAGATCAGATGTTCCCACCGGATGCTTGGGAAGTTGAGGAAAGAAAATGGATATATGCAGAAAAATGATGAAAAGGGGATATAATTGATGGGAAAGCAATGAACATGGAGCCAAAATCTTAGGGAAGCTACTGTTGAGTCAAGGAGGATCAGGGTCTTCTTTTGATATGTAACAATTCAAACCACGGCCATTATGATTAGGGGTTAAATATGAAGAATGGTTGCAGGAATTGGGTATGTCTAATCTAGTGAAGGGACACAGTGGCACAGTGGCTAAGATGCTGAGCTTGTGGATCAGAAAGGTTGGCAGTTCAGCGGTTCGAATCCCTGGTGCTGCGTAACGGAGCGAGCTCCCATTACTTGTCCCAGCTTCTGCCAACCTAGCAGAACCTGTCCTTATAAAATTTATCTCATTACGCGCATATGATGACGCTAGAGATAGAGTAGTCCTTAAAGACCCATTCTTCTTATTTTAATTGAGAAAGAAGGTTTCGGGTGGCGTTTTTAAAAAAATTGTCTTTGCTCCGAACCAGATGCTCTGAATTTGAAGCTATCCTTGAAAGTTATAACAAGGAAGTGGAAAGTTTCCGGAAGAAGGACGTCATGACCATGGAAGAAATGAAGAATAACGTGGAAAAATTAACTGAGTTGTCAAAGAATTTGGACCATGCTCTTCTGGAATATGAGGTTAGTCTCCCTAGAGCTCAAGAGCTAAGCATGGACCTAAATTATTTCAGAAGGGCTAATCTACGTAAATTGATAGAGAGGCTGTGCCATCAGGTTGGTGTTGGCCCTTAGTGACTACATAGATAGATTTCTCCATGATGATCTGTCCATAATGTGGTCCTTCAAGCCTCCCAACCTGTCCCTTTAAGTCTTCTAAACATGGACCTAAACTATTTCAGAAGGATCAACCCATGGTAATTGATAGATAAACTATATGACATTAAATTGGTGTTGAGTCTTAGTGACAAAATAGATAGATTTCTCCACGATGATCTATCCTTAACCTTGTCCTTCAAGCCGCCTAACCTGGTCCTTTAAGTCTTCCAAACATGGATCTAAATTATTTCAGAAGGATCAACCCATGGAAATTGATAAACTGTATGACATCAAATGGGTGTTGAGTCTTGGTGACCATATAGATAGATTTCTGATCTGTCTCTGATCTGTCCTTAATGTGGTCCTTCAGACCTCCCAACCCGACCCTTCAGGTCTTCTAAGCATGGATCTAAATTATTTCAGAAGGACCAACCCATGGAAATTTATAGATAGACTATGTGACCTAACGCAAGTGTTGACTCTTAATGACTACACGGATAGATTTCTCATGATCATCTTAACCAGATCCTTCAGATCTTTCCACACTTCCAAGAGACTTATCACTTCTGTAACAAAGTCCATCCATTTGGTTGTTGCTTCACCTTCTCCAGAAGTTTTACTGAGGTGTCTCAAGTAGGACAATTTGAACCTGGTCATCTGTCCCTTGAGTGAAAACTCTGGGTGGATTTGTTCAATCCTCCATTGGGTGGTTTCCTTGGCTGTCCGTGATATTTTCAGGAGTCTTCTCCAGTTCCAAAATTCAGAAGCATCAAATATTCTTCCTCCTCCTTTAAAGCCATGCACGCCTGTATCTGAACTCCTGTGTTAATTTTAACAGACGATCAATAAAGAAGAGGAGTTACTTGAACGAGAGAAAAGCCAGTTTCCTCTGCTCCAAACCATCATTTCACACAAGCTCCCGTTCGAGCAACTTTGGGTGACCGCTTACCACTTTCATGTGAAGTCTGAGGAGTGGATGAACGGTGAGGATTTGTACAGGGTGATGTGTTCCTCATAAACGCGACACGTTTGTTAAAAGAATGAAGTCTTTGACTTACGACCAAAATGGGGACCAGAATTTCCACGGCTAAGCAAGGCAGAGGTTAAGTCAGCGGCCTCCAATTTTACAGCCTCTTTTTTTGGCCATGATAGTTAAGTGGATCGCTGCAGTCGTTAAGTGAATCACATAGTAAAAGAATTCTTTATTGGCCAAGTATGATTAGACACACAAGGAATTTGTCACTGGTGCATAAGCTCTCAGTGTACATACAACAATAGTGATAGATCATTATCATAGTCATGGTAAAAATGCATTCATATACATGTATGTATGTATGTATATATGTATATACATACATATGTATGTATGTATATATGTATATATAGGTATATACATACATATATATATGTATGTATGTATCTGTGTATTTATGTATGTATGTATGTATGTATGTATACACACACACACACACACACACACACACACACACACACACACACATATATATATATATATATATATATGATGAATGCATATAAACTGTGTGTGTGTGTGTGTGTGTGTGTGTGTGTGTGCGCGCCAGCATAACTCTGGAATGCCTCGAGCAATTTCAACCAAACTTGGTACACACATGACTTACTCTCTTGAAACAAATACTGTGGGGTAAGACACCCCTAAAACCCCTCGGGGTGTGTGTTCTGTTAAGATATAGCCTGTTGTGCCTTAAAATGGCTTCTACTGTATAGCACAGTGGAGTTGCCATGATAACAGCTTCACAGTCATCTTTTTGTGTGGGTTGGAGGGGGGGGAAGAAATTCCAACTTGGGGTCTGCTTCAGCCTCCTGGTGGTGGTGGGGGGCTTTGATCGAATGCTGGAGGGAAGCACTGCTGGTGACAAAGAGCCGGAGGGCCTCGTTCTGGTGGGACTGCATCATAGCCTGGAACTGGCTGACCATCTCAGCCTGCTGAACCTCCAGGTGCCGGTCCCTGGCCTTGCACTCCTGCAGGTCTTCCCTCTGCTTGGAAAGCCCATGCTTGTAGTCCTCAGTGAGGTGCTTCTGCTGAGCCTCCTTCTCGGCCAGATCCAATTTGAACTGAGCTTTTTTGCCAACTCTTTCTCATGGTGGCTGCTTAGCTCCAGCAACTGCTTCCTAAGGAGCCCGGGCGGGCAGGCAAGTAGTCGCTGGGAGGGGAGGGGCACGTAGAGACTGATAAGGCGCCCCTCGACACGAGTGAATTGACCACGCCCACCCAGTCACACAACCACCTTGCCACGCCCACCCCACCTGTCCTTAGGCAGATCACATGAGTGGTCCGCGGGATTTAAAATTATGAATTTAGTGGTCCTTGAGCTCCGAAAGGTTGGTGACTCCTGGACTAGAAGACCTCCACGGACCCTTCCAACTCTGTTATTCTGTTAAAAGATCTTCGGAGAATCTTTTATGCTCTGAAAGCATTTTTCAAACCGAAGAGTCTTTCCCCAATTAGGCGTCCCTTCGAAGTTGGCTTCCTGCTCAGCATAGCTGTCTTCAAACACCTTTTTTTTTCCTTTTTATCCTTGAGGCTGCCTTTTCTCCAATTAGAATCCCCGCCCAAGGACCCGACCAGCTTAAAAATTATAATTCAAAGCCCATTCTTCTGCTTATTCACCAGCTCCAGCCAACCGTGTGCTGATGGAAGGGGGGGGGGGGTAGATTTATAATTCCTGCTGCTGCTGTCACCTTAGTGTCACATTAATGCAGCTGTCACGTTAATGCAGAAGGATCATTCCTAATTCATATTTTCATGGCATTGAGAATGTGTCAAACTTAATTGGCTTTGAAAGCAGGCTCCTGCTTCTAACCATCTGCGGGCGCTTCCTTCTAGCATTTCTTTCTTTTCTTTTCTTTTCTTCTTTTTTTCCCGTTTGCGGCATGCAGGGTCTGTCCTCCAACTGAACGCGGAGGAAATCAGCGAGGATGTCGCCAATATGTGGCGAACCATGTACAAATTGACCAAGACCTTTATAGATCTCCCGGGCCCCAAGCGGATGGCGGAGAATGTGAAGTTTAAAATCGACAAGTTCAAGCAACATCTGCCCGTCCTTTCCATCGCCTGCAATCATGGGATGAAAGACCGGCATTGGGAACAGGTCTGCTGATCTGAACAACAATTCCCACAAGCGGAATGGTTAAGGTTGTGTGTGTGTGTGTGTGTGTGGATTAGAAGCAGGGAAGCCTCCGAGTTTTAGACCAGTTCAAGAAACAGATGCTGCAAAGCAGGGGTGTCAAACTCAATTTCACTGGGGGCCGCATCAGGGTTGTGTTTGACCTTGGTGGGCTGTGATCGGGGTGGCCATGGTGGGGGTGGCCAGCTTGACATCACTCGTATCAGGAACATCTGTGGTGGCCAAGTGCTAAGGCAGGACTTCTATCAGACCCTCCCTCACTCTCATTATAATCTCCTTCCTTCCTACCTACCTACCTTCCTTCCTTCCTCCTCTCCCTCCCTCCCTCCCTCCATCTTTATTCTCCTTTCTTCTTTCTTCTTTGCTCTCTTCCCACCTTCCCTTCTTTTTCTTTGTCTTACCTCTTTCCCTTTCTCCTTTCCTGTCCCTTCTTCCATGCTCAAATGCAAAAGGGGAAGAAACATTTCTCGTTTTGTTTTTAATTTGTTTTGCTAGCCCTCTGCCAGTGAAAACGGAGCTCTGTTTTCTCTCACAGAGGCACTGGGGGCCGGCCCTTTTCTGTTTCCAGTGGCCCCGTGGGCCAGATCTAAGCACCCTGTGGGCCGGATTTGGCCCGCGGGCCCTGAGTTTGACACCCCTGCCTTAGAGGGAAGCTGGTTTCTGAGGCTTTCGAACCATGGCTCAAAACTTAGCTTTAGGCATGAGCTAGGCCATTTGTTACAGCTTGTTCACAACCTATCAATAGCAATAGCAGTTAGACTTATATACTGCTTCATAGGGCTTTCAGCCCTCTCTAAGCGGTTTACAGAGTCAGCATATTGCCCCCACA